GTGTGTGTGTGTGTGTGTGTGTGTGTGTGTGTGTGTGTGTGTGTGTGTGGTGGTATCATAGAGTCACAAACATAATTCTGGCGGGATAAATAAATTTGGTGAAAGAGAGTTTTCAGTTGGAATACTGTTTTTATTTCAACTTTTTTTGTTTGTTTTTTGCAGCTTATTTCTTATTGGTAATTCACAACATTCATTTTTAGTAGTAGTAGGTTAAATATTTGTATATATTAAAAACAAATATATTCCATTAAGTAATTTCAGTTTTGCCAACCAGTAAAAAAACAAATAAATAAACTCCAGCATGCCCAGTCTGATTGATGCAGAGAAGAATAGGAGCAGGAAGTGACCAGACAGGGAGGACAGGGTTGTCTTGACACCACTGTAGGCCTCTTAGTCTTCAAATGAATGATGGCTTCCGACACTGAGGTGATCTCGTTGGCCCTGATCTTCCAGTCTAAGCACGCCAATGACACTGGTTGCCTTTACAGCAATGTTCTTCTGGGTGACTGGATAGCTGAAAGGGTTAGCACTATTAGGTTTATGAGATGTATTTGCTTTGCTTAAGGAAAGGATAAGGGCATTATTGGGAAGGAACTGGGGATCATGATGTTAGCAGTGTGTTTAAAGCTGGAGAGAGCAAAGACTAAACATGTTTAGAGGCCGTAGGGTTCACATCCAACACGTGCATTGGTTGTACCAAACCATTAACTTTTACCCTTTGAAATGTAGGATTATGGTACGAATTTGATAAATAAGAATCAGTTTGTTGAGTACCAATACAATATACTGCATCCCTGTAACTTCTCTGCCATCAAAACAATGTTTATAAAGTGCACATATTTTCTGTTTTTCTTGGCCTTGCCAGCATTGTGTTCATTTGGCTTTGTCACGGAGGTTGTCAGAGGTCCACAGGATTGGCTTGTAACTTTTATTTTCTTTTTTTTCTCAGAATCTGTTCATTATTGTGCTACATAGAAAATATCCCACATAAATTCCTTAGAAAGAGTTCTTTGTGTAAATTTTCCCTGTACAACTTTGAATTATGATGTTACCATTGGCTTAAATGGCCTTGTCAGCTATTTTTTCAGGCCACCACCAGTGGGCAGTGGCACAATTCTAGTCTGTACTGGGCAGTTTTACATCTCTCTTTAACATAGCTCTCTGTCAGTATCTGTCTTATTATTTTACCTCATGTAACTCAGCTTCTACCGCTTTACCCATCTTCACGACTTCTAGCTCTTCCCAGATTCATTTGTTGAAATTTGTGTGTGTGCGAGCACTTGTGTTTGAACTTAAATATTTGTGTACATATGCCTCTGTGATGCTGGGTCATTAAGTCTTTGTTAAGTCTCTGTAACACACAAATCAGGTTAAAAAAATTATTTATATCAAATTTTGAGTGTCATCTATCAAATGTCCAATTTATTATTATTATTATTATTATTATTATTATTATTATTATTATTATTATTATTATTATTATTTTTACAAATTGTATAAATTGCTAATAAATCAAATCCACCTGTTCTGTGGTTCGAAATGTCCTTTCCTAAATTTGTTCCATTTATTTCAGTTTTTAATGTTACAAGTATGTATAGATGAGGGAGAGCCTGACTCAGTTTGACAAGAAGTGAGAACAAGACTAATTTTACAATATTAATAAGTGAGAAAGTGTCATTTTACTGTTAGAGCCAGTTTGCCTTTGTCAACACACGGCAGGTGCTAAGGGAAAGGGTGTGTGGCAGGTTTGATATCAGTTGGCTCAGAAGGGACACACACACATGCTGTGTCAACGGAACACAAGCACATTGTATTAACACTTATTAAGGAAGATAAGACGTGCCGCCATGAGAGGACACTGTGTGTGACAGAGAGGAAGCTGAGCAACATCTCCTAAAAGTCTTTTTGTCATATCTCATTCCTTGCATACTCTTAGTGGGTGTTTTTCAGTGCGTGTGTTTGTATGTTTTTTTTTTTTTTTTTGCTCAGGCGTGCCCCATAAGGTTCACATTTTCTGGTGTGTGTGTTTTTGTGAGGTTATATGAAAAAAGGACAGTCAAAGAGAAACAGGAATCCATGTATTTCCTGTTTTTTTTTCTTCAAAGGGCTTGAGACAATAAACACAGTTAATTAAAATGAGTTCAAAGTTGAAAAAAGTGTCTTGGACTCAAATGAACTTCCTTTTCTCAACAATGCACTTTTTTTACTGGTATTTTGTGCTCGGGTCATGTTGTCTTAAACCCATCTGTACTTTTTTGTATTTTGCATAATTAAAATTTTAATACAGTGAAACTTTTTACCCCAATTTAGAACAAATTTAATTGTTTGTTTTTGGAGATCATTATTTGTAGTGCTGACAAAAATATTACAAATTATGCACAAACAGTTGCAGGCAATTCCAAACAGATATGTATGCCTTTTCAGCAAACTAACTCTATGTGGTGGTAAGATCGATTGAGTTTGATATTAAGTGACACATGGCCTTTGGAGTCACTAAATGCTACTCACTGACTGAAAGTACCGCCGCAGAATTCCAATCCCCCAGTTACTTCTCAGGCTTGTCTCCGCAGTGACACTTTCTCCTTTATCTCATTCACTGCCCTTTCATTCAGTTTCAATTTGCATCTTTCCTTTGGTCATGAAAGATTCTGTCTTTTAAATGTTGTGAAGATTTTATTTGCTCATAAAGATCCAATGCCAAGCTTTTCCATTGAAAAACAAAACGTGAACTGTTGGAAGTTATAAAGAGGCATTTATACAATGTTGTTATGTTAACAGGCGTACATATTTTAACAAAATATTTGAAGTTAGAACATGTTTTTTTTATCAGACTAATAAAAATGTTTCATTTCATATTCTCTTTTTATAGACTTTAAAATGCAAAACAGCAGCAAACATATCTCACATAATGTGTGATCTAAAGTTGAAAACAGATCTGAGCCACATGTCTGCTTTAGTGTCTGTACATATACATCTGTTGATAATATTTTGTAAAAAATAAAAACAACAATAACTACTATATGAGCATATTTAGTTTTCTTTCCAATCAACATGTTTTAATTTTGCCAAAAAGAAAAAAAAATATATACAAGTATGAAACCACATTAAGAGCAGTAGCAATGACAAATGAGATATTATTAACTATTTATTCAGCGTCTAAGCAGTAACTGATACTGTTGTTGTAACAGACAAACTTGTATCTGTTTTAGGAGGGCTATGGTGTGATGGTGCTCAACCCCAACCTGAACTACTTGGAAGTGGAAAAGCCAACAAAGTCGTCACCCAGTCACTCCCCTGCTGAAGTCTCGGACGAGCCAGCTGAAAAGAGGGAGCGCAAGGAAGAGCAAGAGGGCAAAAAGAAGAAAGAATTTTACGAGAAATACCGTAACCCGCAGAAAGAGGCTGAAACTGAGCGCATACCTATACGGGTAAGTTGGAGGGATTAAAGGATATAGAGGCAGAAAAGAATGGCAGAAATGAAATTTGGACAGCTGGAAAGCAATGACAGAGTGATTGATGTTTGGCAAAAACAGGCATGATGGGGGAGTTGAACAGAGTGTTATGGGGTTGTAGGAAGAGGAAGAAGAGAGGTGAGAAAATTTGAAACAGGAATTTGGACCAAATATTGATAATAGAAAAGCGGTATGAAAGTAGCAGCTGAATGAGCTTACGAAGTGAGGAGAGGATATGTTAGATGACTAGGGATGAAGGGAGGATGGAAGGAAGAGGGAGAAAGAGAGGCTCTTGTGTGGTCAGCCTGTGTGTGAAGAGGTTGGCTGTGCTCCAGTCGCCTCTCAGTGAGCAAGTGTTAACCACATGGCTACCTCCCTCTCTTTTCCTCTTCCCCTCCTTTTTTTCTTCTCTCTTTTAGATGAAGGGCTGGTCAGCGAAGCACTGGCCCAACAATCCTGTTGACCACTGGGATTTTTATCTCCAAAACACACACACTGCAAACACACTGCAACATTCTTATCAGCAAGACTGACCGTACGCACTCTAACCGTGCACACACACACAGACATACACACGCGCGCGCACACACACACACACACACACACACACACACACACACACACACACACNCGCACACACACACACACACACACAGCTCAAAGCACCCAGCTCAGCCACTTTACCTTGTGGTCAAACAAAGAAAATGACTCACAAATCTAGCTTCATTGTCAAAATAAATGTGACAAACAATGAAAGCAATGTCATCTGTTTCAATGGAAACCTGTTTTAATTCACCCAACAAACTCTGTCTAAATTCAGACTTCTGTAGGGCAATCAAATTAAGTTGGTGTTTAAGAAATAGGATTACTTCGACCCACCTATTTATTTATTTTATTTGTTTGGATTTCATTTAAGAAAAGTTTCTTGGTTACTATTATCAGTGTTTTGTTTTACTTGATGGTATTAGCATCACATTAATAGTTTAATGCAAGGTGAATGCAGACGGTGTGTTCTTGTGGTTCATATCTGTATGTGTGTGTCTGTTCGTTTGTGTGAAAGACGTCACTCTCTGGCTTGTGACAGGAGTTAGGGTTGCTGTAGGACTAACAGGCGGGGTGTGTGAGCTGTCAACGCAGGCCTCTTTTTTTTCTCACCCCTTGGCAGTACCTTCATACACACTTTAATAAGGTGTAATTTGCAACAGCGGCATCTTACTCCATCACACTCCTTTTCATGTTATACACACAAGGAATTTACTTCAAAGCATTTGACACTAGGTTTTTGGTAAATGATCCTCATGTCACACAGTCCTGCTTTTACTGTCAGCTCTCACTCTGTTATTTATTTATTTATTTTCATTTTGAACTATAATGATGAGGCAAAAATTTGCAGTCAGAATATTTTTTGTATGAATTGGTCTCAATTGCAGTATAGTTTAAAACATTCTGCCATTGTTTATGATGTGAGTGAATTCATTTATACTGGCACATATTTTAGCTAAATTATTGCAGATTTGCAGTTGCACGTTTTTATTCTCGATGCACGTTATTACAGAAGCAACAGAATAATTTCATCATGGTTCAGATCTCACTCACAATCACGTTCCCACCTCAACTGTTGGATCATTGCACTTACTAAGAAGACTTTCCGTATAGCTTCTGTCTTGTAAAATATGTTAATACAGCACATTACTGCAACCTTTTCCTTTTCTCTGCCTATGGCCAAACGGGCAACCTGAAGCTGTTATGTTTTCCTCACTGTGCTTTTTTAAAGAATTTGAAAATGTTGTTGTGAAAACAGGGGGCAATACTGTACTTGACAGGATGTCAGTATTGCATTTTTACATCAAAACTGTTTACAGGAGGAAAAAGTGTTGACATTTATGTTGTAAAAATGCATAAGAATACATGAATGGGGAATAAATGGTGGAGCAGTGATTAGAGCTTTAGCCTCTCAATGAAGAGTTCGCCTCCCAGCCGAGGTCCTTTCTGGATGGAGTGTGCATGTTCTCCCCATGCAAACATGGGTTTTCTCTGGGTTCTCTGGCTTCCTCCCACGAACTAAAAACATGCATGTTAGGCTATGGGTAAGTGTCGCTGGGTGTGGGTGAGAATTTGGATGTTTGTTTTTATGTGGCCCTGCCGCACTTGTCCAGAATGTACCCCTACTCTCACACAGTAACTGCTGGAGACACATTTGTTTCTGTTTTTTATTTATTACCTTTTGGTGTTGTGGCAAAAAAAAGTTACTCATTTTGAGTCACAAAAATCTGAAAGAAATGTCTATAATTCTAAACTTAAAGTGTTGTGAAAAAAAATATTCTAGCAATCCATATTATGCTGTGACATTTTACTCAGAACTTAAGGCTAAGCAGTATATTTAGAAAACATGCCCTGTTTTTTTTCTCTCCATACTATTGAATACAAACAAATACAAACAAATGACTTTACTTACACCGCCCCCTCC